ATGGTTTTTTTATCTATTTTCTATAAATTTTTTAAGTCTGAAATTTTCCCCCTGTGGGGAAAATTTCAGACTTGATCCCAAAACTCTTTAATTTGTAATAATTAATAATTTTTTATAAAATAATTTTAATTCTCACTAAAAACTATATTTTTGATTAAAATTTTCAATTCTCTGTAATTTCATGTAAAAATAAATAAAAATAATTTATTTACCCTCATGATTAATGATAGAGATTTACAAGCTTATATTTTAGGATTAAAGGGAGATTTAGATGAAATTTCACTATATTTTTATATGAAGTTGTTAGCTAAGTCATTGAAAGTAGAAGATATATTTACAAATTATGTAAAGAAGGATATAGAAATTGATTATAGTAAAGATAGTTCAATACCATCAATTGATGAATGTCTTTATTATATATTTGATGATAAGAAAAAGCCAACTAATAAACAGTTTGCAAGGAAACCACCAGTAAATAATTTATTGAATTATTTAAATAAAACTAAAGAAATAGATAAAAATGAAGGTTTAATTAAAATAAATGATAATAATGATAATATAACATTGGTTGGTATAAGTTCTATTAATAATGATGATAATTCTATTGAACAATCTAATAATAATAAAGATATTTATAAAAGAAATAATAATGATTCTAAAGATAAAGATAATATAAAAAAGATTAAAATTGATGAAAAGGTTTCAAGAAGTAATTGTTTATCTGAAATTACCCCTCAAATGGAAGAAAATTTAGCAAAAACTAAAATAATTGAATCAACTAACAAGAATGATTCAGAATCTATTAAAGAAGAAAAGAGTATATTAATTAAAAATGAAGAGATTAATAATAACAAAGAATTTGATAAGGTTAGTAAGCAATTGAATAATGATAGTATTTTAAGTAACTATAAAGATGATTTAAATTTTAAGAAGGAATCTAATAAAGAGATAAAATCAGTAAGACAATCTAATTTGTTTGAGAGCAGTTTAAGAAGTAACACAGACACAGATAATGTTACAAAAGAGAAACAACCTTCTTTAGAAGAAACAATTCCAATGGTAGTTTTAAGTAAAAAGAATCCATTTGATAATGATTCATCTAATAATCTTAATAAGAATGATTCATCTAAGATTTTATTACCATCAGAAATATTCAAGAATTCAATTAAGAATGAAAGTAGTTCATCTGAAGGAGAGTTTGTGTTTGATCTTGGATCTACGATAGAATCAAATCATGATGATGGTCCATCAGATTTTAATTTTATAATTTGATTATAATAAACGATTTTATCATTCTTTTTTTATTTAGTGTGTTTGTTTTAAAATAAGAAGATTTGTCAATACACTTAAAAAGAAAAAATTTAAAACAGTTAACTAAGAAATCATTTAAAAGAATTAATTTTAATTATAAATGAAGCTGATTACAATATAAACGTTAATAAATATTTATTACTGTTTATATTCTATCTTTTAATTTAAAAAATTAATTGATGGATTCTAAATGATATTAATAAAATAACTAATTTATTTGATCTATTTAATTAAAAAATATTTCTTTCAATTATTCTTTAATTAAATCTCTTTAAAATAATTATTTATATTACAGAAACTAGTATTTGATTTACAAACAAATTTATTTAATTTATCTACACTAGTTAAAATTTGTCTTTTTTAATAATCATCTCTTTCAGTTCTTTAATTATCAATTACCATAGTTAATATTTTGTAAGAATATATAGTTCTGTAAAAGTCTTATTCAACCTCACTTGTTGGAAGCATATCCTACACAAACTTTCTTTTCACCCCTACCAACTCTATTCATCCTTCGTTAGACACTCTTAAATTGTTTTAATATCTACTTCTTTATAAAAAATGTCTTTTATAAAATCTTTGCCGATCATTTTATTAATATCGGGTTTAATTAAAAGTTTTATTGTAAATCTTATTTGAGGGATATAACAGATGACAGTTAAATATTAAATTAAATACATTAAACGTTAAAATATTCAACTTAAAAAACAAAATTATTTAAAAATCTATATTATATGATAAAACACATATATTCATCCTTTTTAATCTTTTATTAAAAATAAATACTTTTTATAGAAACCTGTCAAATAAATCAATTTAAAAATAATAAAATTTTTGATTAACATTTTTCATGTAAAACTTTGAATAAATAAAAGTTGTTATTATATCTACAAACAAATTCA